AACAACACGGTCTGTTCTTCTGGCTGTGGAAGGTCCCTCTGCTTTGCCCCAGCTTTAACCTCTAGCAGCAGCAGTGGGGCACTGAGACAGAGATAAAATGAACATTCCTTAAAATGCTGTTATGACACAAATATTCACAAGCTCTTAAAAGCCACCTAATTAGAACTGCTATAAACTTTTTAGCTAAACAAGTTTTTGATGACAATTGGTAAATTTGCTTAATTTGGCAAAGTTTAATTGACAAAATAGGAAATAGTTTTAAAATGCTAAATGTAGGGGAAAAAAATTAAAGGATTTTTAAAGGGATCAGAAAGAAATCAGTATGAATAGAAAAATCACCATAGGAAATGCTGATTTTGGCAACATTCAAAAGAAAAATGTTTGCTGGTAGACTTAAATTTCCTTAAGCTCTTTCAACAAACAGTATTTCTCTGTCTCTGTCTCTGTCTCTCTTTCTCTTTCTCCACCTCTCTCCCTGTCTCTCCTTCTCTCTTTCTTTTTTACTAGGCAAAGAACTTTATTAACCTTTGTTTCAAATTTTAGTCCCAGGCTTCTTCAGCTTAACTAGCTGCAAAGAATGATTTGTGTATATGCAAAAATTGAAAGGAGCTGCAGTGTCCAAGGGCTTGGGCTTAAAAATATTAGAGATCAAGATTTTAACAGATCCATGAACAAAATTTTACAAAGCAGTCATAATATAAAATAGCAGCTCCCGGTAACTTCTTCAAGTTTTATCTTCTTCAGAAGTTGACTCAACTTAGTTTGCTTCATTCTTGGAAGTCTCATCAAAATTCTCTGTAAGACCTGGAACTTCATCATCATTTGTAGCAAGTGGTGCTTTTCCATCCACAGACTGGGCAGAGCTTCAGCCAGTCTCCTTAAGCTGGTCAGACTGTCTGCACCAAGCATTTCCGTCAGCTGCTTTGTCTCAGCTGGCCTGTGATGGTGAAAGTGTTTGCTGCCAGAGATGCCGAAACTTTAGCGCTATGAACGTGAATCACTGTTCTCGGTTTGTGAACATAGCCACCTCTTCAATACCAGAGATATTGTTCACCCCTAACTTCTGTAAGGAGAACTGAAGTTTTTTACTAACTGATATAGCTGTTTTATAAACCACCTTCATCTTCTGCAAGCAGTTACTTTCCCACCAATGTGCACTTGTGCTTGCAGTTTGCCGAATTTTTCCCAGCTCGTGATAGGTTCTTTCATCTTGTTGGAGAGGAAAAGGGGGCCACGTGGGAGTCTAGGGTTGGCACTTACGGGGTCTTGGACAGACCAGTTAGGATTAAATGCACACATGTGGGGATGTAAAATGGCAACAAATTGAGCATTTGTTGAAATGCATAAAGCTGGAAGATGCAAAGAGAAATGGGTGCATGGCATTCCCACCTAAAGTCACTCAAGGCACATTTTACAGGCTGGCCAAAAAAAAAAAAAAAAGGGAAGCAAGCAAACAAACTACAAAGCAAAACAAAGGTCTCTACATAATAAGATTCCAATTTACAGTAGTCCCCCCTTATCCACAGAGGATACGTTCCAAGACCCCCAGTGGATGCCTGAAATCATGGATAGTACCAAATCCTATAGACACTATGTTTTTTCCTATAAATACATACCTTTTCACTTAAAGAAAGCACTTTACAGCTTAGCTTCTCTTTGGCATACTGAATTGCCAGGATCACTACCCTTGCGCTTTGGTGCCATTATTAAGTAAAGTAAGGGTTACTAGAAAACAAGCACTGTGATACAGGGGCAGTCGACTTCAATAACCGAGATGGCTACTAAGTGACTAACAGGCGGGGAGCACATACAGCACAGAGGCGCTGGACAAAAGGATGATTCATGTCCTGTCAGGATGGAGAAGGATAGCAGGAGATTTCATCACGCTACTCAGAATGGCACGTAATTTAAAACTTACGAATTGTTTATTTTTGGAATTTTCCATTTGATGTTTTCTGGACCTCTACTGACCATGGGTAACTGAAAGAGTGAAAAGCGAAACTGTGGATAAGGTGGGAGTACTGATAAAACCATGTGTGTCCAAAGCCATGCACTGGAAAATCTGTACAAGGTAACAGTAAACTATGAAAAATAAGTACTTAACTCAGGAAAGTAAGATTTGGTCAGGGTGACTGGGTGATTTTTGTCTTAACTTTGTACGCAGATGTACATTTTTCTTCAGATACACTTGAAAACAATAATCGTGTATATATATATGAGATGTGTTTCAAATTCTTCATACTTATATTAGAAATGAAAATTTAAACATAGGATAATAGGGAATTTAGAATGAGAACAGCTTCAAATAATAGTTATATTTTTATAGTTTTAGTTATATATTTTTTAATTACCTAGGATAAGTACTACTAAAGACCAAAATATAAGTACTACTAAAAGGAGTTTTTTTAATTAAATAAGTTCTTAGGAATAATCCTTCTATTTCTTTAGCAATAGTTAACAGAATGGTATTCTAGAATCCTAGAAAAAAATGACTATTATTGTAAATAAGATTTACAAAAAATTTAGTAAGATTCCACATAAATAACATTGTTTTTATGAAACTAAACTTTATATTAAATTTTAAATTTTGCATTATGAAAGAGAACATGTGCAGACCTTAATTTTAGTCTTACAATTTCTGATCAATTCTTTCAAAAATTAAAATTAAACTTCCCATAACTCTCACACCATATTGCTCCCAAAGGGCTAGGAAACAGCAGTTTGAATGACTTCAAGCTTCTCTAATATATTATTTCTTATTTAGTTTATATATGGCCTCCAAGTAGCACTTGTTACTATATAGAGACTATAACAAACATCCATATACCCACCATTCAAAATCTAAAAGTACTAATATTGTAATATTTAATTCTAACCCTTTTTGAAAATAAAATAAAATAAATAAAATATTTCTAATGAAGTTACTATGATATTTTTATTCTTCCCAGGCTCTTTCTCCTCCTCTCTCAGAGGCAACCGATATTATAAATTTGATGTATATTCTTCCAATCTATGTTTATGTATTTTATTACACACATATGTATTCATAAATACATAATATTATTTGTGTGTGCATCTATATTTAAAAATAACATTATGTTTTAAAAATCTGGTCATCTGGATATATAAATCTAAATCATTCATGTTAACCTCTAAATAGCATTTTATGACAAGTTATATATCCATTCTCCTACTGATGGGCATTTTGGTTGTTTCCAAAACCACGACACACACACACACACACACACACGCACGCACGCACGCACGCACGCACGCACCCTCCTCCACACACAGATGTTCATTTTTGCAAAAAAGAAAATCAGGAAAAACTAATACAGAAACTTAAAAAAATGACTACTTATAGGGGATGAATAGAAACAAATAAGGATGAGACTGAGACTTCTCTGCATGTACTTTTTTTATAGTTTTGACTTTTGAAATATTTAAATGTTTTAAATATTCAAATAATGTAAATCCTACAATTAAATACATACAGAAACCAATGAACCTAAATGTCTAGCAAACTGGTAAGACAACCACATAGAAAAAAAGAATTAATTCAAGTAACTTTTGGATAGGATACCATGTTTAAAACTTCTAAGAAATCTTGAATTTTACTTAGCTCTTGGTAGTGGTATTAGTATAGTAATTTTAAAAGTATTTTGTATGTAGGAAGGATGGAGCAAATGAGAAAATATGTTGATAATATTACGAATCAGAGTTCTCACTGTTGGATAAGGAAATATAAATATTTATATTCGTATAGATATATGGAGAACATGAAGAAGAACTCGATGGTGCTGGATTTGAACTGTATATATATGAACTTATGACTTAATGAATACACATATACAAACATACATATATATACATACATGTTTACCTACCTATGCAAAACTGTATGTATGTACATATGTACGTACGTATGTATGTATGTATGTGTGTGTAAATAACTGTATATTGAAAATAGTTACAGAAGCAATGACATCTCAGAGCAATAAAATTTCCTGATTTCTAAATATCATTTGACAATAAAGGGATTCATGGCTCCTGAAAGAAACATCTAGTTCCAAATCTGGGGCAAAGTAAATACAAAGTGAATCTGGAATACGTTGTTTGTCAGAAAGCAAAAAGCAATCAGAAATTTATAGAAACTTATTTAAAACAAGAAAAAAAAGAAGAAAAAAGAACAAAGAACAAGATTTCAGTAGCGAGATATTTAAAAAAAAATAAGTGTAGGATTATACCACATTAACTAACAGTAACAGAATTCCCAAGTTCAGTGATACTTTTTTTTAATGAGGAGAAGTAAAGTTCTTCCTTATAGAAAAATGCCAGCTAATAAACATAGAAGCAATGATGGAGTTAGAAAAACCACTATTTTAGAACTGATTCAGGCAAAGATCATCAATGAATGCTAAAACTACTAGGTGAAAGGTTTTGGGAACAGGACAGCCACATGATCTCACACCACAGATTATTTCCAAATGTAAAGGGACAATTTGCCTTATTTTGGTGAGGCAAGCTTCTTTTCATGTTTATTGGCTACATAGGTCTTCTCTGATGAGCACATTTTGTGCCTATTTTTCTGTTGGCTTCTTTGTGTTTTATTAATTGAATTTAAAATCTTTATATACTTTAGACATTGTAATGCAAGTATCTTTATTGGATCTGTGACTTGCTAATGTTATATTTTGTGGCAAATTTAATACATCTTTCC